TTGTTTGTAGCCCAATTGATGGAATTGCTGTATAAAGTACAGCTGGTATTTGTAGTTCTATATAGCAGGTCCCATTCTGGACTTTATACAGCAATGCCATTTTTCCAACTTTTTTTTGTGGTTGCTACAGGGGGATATGGGTTAGGAGGGTTTGTGGGGGTTTATTTCACCAGGGCCCTTTGTTCCCTAGGTCCACCACTGGGTCAAGTCTACATGGTCTTGGACTGATATGTCCAAACAAGCAGCATATAGGTTGTGATGGTTAGGTGTCCATGAGCTTTTGGCCATACAGTATGTGTGTGAATATATATATATGCTTATTTGCACAGTGGCAAACCTAGCATTACTTCCCAAGCCCAACAACACCAGCCTTCAATGCCAGATCCCAGCCTTGCCTGTGAAATCAACCAACATGACAGGTTCCCATCAATACAAGGATGGGCTGGTTATATGCACTAGGCCTGTATAAAAATTTGCACCGATGAGAGTTCTTACCATCTAAAGCCAACACATGGTCTAAGCCATCAAAAGACTTTCATTAAAAACAATATCCACTCCTAGGTTCCTATAACTGATTTCTCTAAGTACGGATGCTGATTGCTCTGTCTGATATATGGAAAACCACAATAGGTAGACCCGACCAATCCATGTATGCAGTGGATCATGAAAACATGGTACAAGAAGGAGAAAAAAAAAGTGTTCATCTATTCTTTGGAGCTTGGACAATGTTCTGTCTGTGTAAAACGTAAGTATTATTAAACACTTCTAAAATGTTCCTTTGCTGCTGTTATTAAAGTGCACTCAATATCCATATCGTGTTTCCAGCAGTCAGTCAGTCTCTTTGTATTTTGGCTTTAGGGAGTTATTTGGCTGAGCGTGGTGCTCTAACGCTGGATGTGATACTTCTCCAAGTCAAGGAGTGGAAGGCTTTCCTGGATGAAGTCAGGTCTCTGGAACCTGCCCGTCTTCAGTTCCTCGGCTGAAAGCTCTCCTCCGGAGGTGGACAGGAAGGAAGTTTTACAAAGTGCAGGTGTTCAGTCTACTGTAACCTTTTATTGTAAGCTTGTTTTAAAAAGGGATGTATTTATTTTCATGTATTTCCTTTATTATATTTAGCACTAAAACGTAAAATGTGTGATTTTTGTCTTTAATTTTCTTTAGACAAATAAGAAATATTCAAGCATGGGGCAAGCTTAAGCAACAACATAAGCTTTTCACATAGCTTATGTCATGGATCGGGGCTTATGGGTATAAAAAGAAATCAGGTATGTGGACCCTATCTACTACACTGGCAGGGATACTTAGAGAAAAAGGGTGCAAGCAGTGTAGGCTGACAAATCACAGAGCTGTAGTGCAAGCAGAGAACAGAGCAGGGGAACTGAAGAAGGTGGTGGAAGACAGAATAGGCTGGTAGGTCAAGGTATTGGGCAGGGTGCTGCAATGCTAGGTAGGTTGCATGGGGTCCCCCAGGATGTGAAATCTAAGGGCCAGCTGGGGTTCACCAGAGCTCCAGATGGTGGAGATGGGCTTGGCTGCGTGCTGACCCCAGGTCTCAATCACTAGGTGCACCCAACTCACAGCCAAGAATGGTTGACAAGGCCAGAGTTCTGGACAGGTTGCAGACACACATACAAGGGACAAAACAAAGGTCAGGGACAGACGGAGGAACGGGACTTCCAGGGACAGACGGAAGACTGGGATCACCAGGGATAGGTCAAAGATCAGAGCGGACTGAGGACAAGGATTTCCAGGGACGAGCTAAAAGTCACGACACTGATAAACCGCAAGGCAATCAGGTTCAATCAGAAACAGGAGGCTCGGCATCTAGCTTAGGAAAGAGTTGCTCTGGCCACGTGCCATTCCCTGCCCTGGGTTTAAATAGAGACAGCAAGAGGGAGGATCCACAGGAGTGGCCACAAGCAGACTGCACTGATTGGCCGAGAAGCTGCATATGAAACAGCAGGAGACGTCGGCCGACTCCTAAAGCTGCCAGACAGGTGCAAGAGTGAGTCAGATTCAGAGCACATGTCTGGAGGTCTACAAGCAACAGCACGGCCCTGCATGCCTGTAGAACCAGGGGTAAGAGGTCTGTATATACTTGTAGAACTACAAGAAACAGCTCAGCTGCAAGTCTGCAGCTAAACTGTGACAGCTTATTCTATACCAAGCTGTAAAAAGAGACCCAAACAGTACAGATATCAAATTAGACAGACAGCAGGGAGTAGCAGAGATGGGACTGTCTGGTGTAGCCATTTATACAGAGACTGCCAACAAGCTAGTAGGCAATGCTGGTGTGCGAAAACCTATAGAGGGAACTTGTCGCTTTGTCCATTCATGGCACAATAATATGTTCTCTTAAAAGCCCCAACTGATCCTCACATTCATCATGCTTTCCCACCACTTCATTTGTCTGTTGAAGGCATGGGTTTTAACCCTGTATTAGCCCGTCAGTATTGGAGTTTACACAGGGTTATAACCTGCTCAGAGGGAGGGCCAGGTGTCAACTAAGGTTGCCACCTGTCCAGGATTCACCCGGACAGTCCGTGTTTTGAATGCCGTGTCTAGGTTTCATGGCAGCAGAAACCCAGACACAATATGTCAGGCAGACGGGCAACCAAAATGAAGATAGGGGCTACTGGCCCACCCGGTGAAAATAGTCTCAACTGTGAGGAATAGAAGCCCATAATTTTTTTTGCCGTGTCCCATTGGGAAGATTTCCCTTTACTTCCTGTGCGAGTCACAACAGGAAGTGAGAGGAAATCCCCACGTAGACGTAGAAATCCTTGGGGGTCATAAGGGCCACCAGAACTGGTGTTCCCTTTGGAAGCTCTCCCATCTATTCCTGTTCTGAAGGCTACCTAAATTGGGATTTTCTTTAAATTTTTCACCAGCACAAATAGAGAGGGTGAATTAAGACACAAACCGCAATAACAACCTGACATGTGTTCTAGGGATGCACCGATACCGATACTAGTATCGGTGCCGAGTATTTGGGCGAGTGCTCGTACTCGCCCCAAATGCTCCGATACCTAGCCCGATACTTCCGGTATCATGAATCCGGCTCCATGCTCTCTCGTCACATGTGAAATGTCACGGCGCCCTGCTTTCTAATTGGTCAGGAAGCCGGCTTCATGCTTCCTCCTCACCTCATGACGAGGGAGCATGGAGCCAGCTTCCCAGCCAATCAGGAGGCCAGGTGCCGCATCATTACACAGCGCTGGGCTTCCTGATTGGCCAGAAAGCCGGCTCCATGCTTTCTCGCCACCTAGTGACGAGAAGCATGGGGGCGGCTTCCCTGCTACTCGGGATGCCGGGTGGTGAGTCTTTACATACTCGATACCGAAATACTGGTATCGGTGCATCCCTAATGTGTTCTAATCCCTGTCCACTTCATACAAGACTAACGAAAACGTTTTGGCTTCAGTTGCTATTTAAGGAATTAAGCCAGAATTTTTATCTAAGGATGGGTTTTTTTGGTGGGTGGTCATGTGCGAGGACTCAGCAGCACTTACGGTACATCTCTCTCCTGGCAGCATATACAGTACATACATCTATTTGCTGTTGCAGCACTGAGGTAAACTAGGAATCCTAAACCTCACGCAACGTCGGAAATGTGAGACTATCCTGATGTTCTTTTCTATTTTACAATGCCTTCAATTAGAATGTCCTTGACCTTGACTTCCCTCTAAGAATACCTTGTTCCCAAGCAGTTCTCTAGCATGCAATAAATGCATGTACAGTCCTCTATTGTAATAGGAACTTAAAAGTAAAGGTCAGGAGACGGTGGTAAACATGATCTAGTGCTCCTACAGACTATCTAGCTAGGAGTTGTTGGGTGGGACTTGGCATCCAGGAGCTTACAGCTTTCACCGGAGCAATGCAGCCACAAAACAGGAGTTCCTTCTGTTGCTCCATTCCAGCTTTCTGACTCTGGAATAGGACTGCTGTAGACACATGGCCTCCAGGCACACAGTTTGCAAGAAGGTCGAACCCATTAGGTCCATGAGGGTTCTTAACAGGTGCACACAGCCTGCATTTGCACCAGGACCTCTCCCCAAAGCAGAGGGTTACCAAAGCAAGTCATATATGAAAGGCCTGTTCATATTTTTCTTTGCCCTCTCCTATTGATGGACCTCTGTACTGTCGGGACCAGCAATGAATGCACGCTGTCAGAGCCAATAGCGACGAGTTGTTTCACCTTTAGCAGCCGCCGTTCCCAGAAGGCAAGCACGTCTACCGGTTCTTGGATGCCCCCAGGACTTAAACTATTTGCTCTGATCAGGCGATGCCACAGGCTGGCCCCCAGGAACAAGAAGTACTGACTGATGTCAATGTACAAGACAGGAACAGGAAACAAATACCAGACAGAAACTAATACAAGATAAATACAAGACAGGTATAGGATTAAAGAGCCAAGGCAAGACTAGGATACAAGATCAAGGCAGGACTGGGCTTCAGGATCAGGATACAGGCTTGTGTAGATAGAGCAAAGCCAAGGCTGGAACTATCACAAGACAAGAGCCCTGGGCTTGTGATGCTTAAATAGAGCACAACTAACCAAGGCTTTAAGGGGCGTGTAGCCAGGCTGTGTTAGGTGCAGTTACAAGAGGCAACCACCAGATGGAGCTGAGTGGTTGTGACAGAGATAGGAGCATTTGACCTGCTCCTAACATGTACTGCACTGAAATAATCTTTTTGTGGTATAGACGCAGGGCCGGCCTTAGGGGTGTGCGAGCAGTGCGGCCGCACAGGGCGCCATAGACGCAAAGAAAATATGCATATTTTTATTGAATTATTAAAATCAGTTCTATATACAGTTAAAAACATCTAATTTAATACCACCCTTTAACCAAATTAAAATGCTCATTGGGCACAATTTGTCAATCAATGTGGAATTTCACCACATAACCCTGTGATGACAGTACAGAGATATTGTGAGGTGAAGGGCTGAAGCTGTATCACCATTATTTGTTTCACCGGACTGTCTATGATTCTTTTACAGGACAGAGTAGCAGTCTCATATCGCATTGACACTGAATGAAGCCTTATCCCTCTTTTTTCATCCTGAACATTCTTTGGCTGATGGCTTGCAACCCCCACGAAGCCACGCAGATGGAAAATATCACCTGTAAATTAGAAAAAAAAAGTAAATGAGTTTTTACAAAATTAACTTTCACGTGCTGAAGATCAATATATATATATATATAT